ATTACTGCTAGGTTCCTAACTTGGAACTATGTTGCTATGAATGAGAAAAAGGAAGCTGAGAATCCTTGGCCCAATTTACGTCATTGCCAGACTGAACAGGAGGTGTTATATGGTGCACACAGTAGCCTCAAGTTGCTCGCCAGTTCAACTAGTGCCAAAGGCCAATGAAAAGTTAAAAAGTACATTCCATCAGTTGTCTCAAAGAAAGGTGGATGGTGCCATTTTTGGAGGTGTAGACCATTGCCACAGTGGATGCAGTTTTCTCCAATTGACAGACATAGATGCTAGGTTTTGCGGAATTCAGGCTGCTGATCGTTAGATAGGCTAAGATTACAGAAACTGCTTACTTATGAATTCCCTTCCCCCATTCTACATTCCTTGCTTTTGTGCTTGGGGAGAAAGGAGGCTAATACTTAGCATATCTAGATCTCAAACTCACTGATTCTGTGGAAATGCAGGACCATTATATTCCTAATACATTTGAAGGAATGAAAACATTTCCAGCAGTACTGTGTTCCTACCAATAGGTGGTAAGGGAGTACTTTGTAAGTCTAACTGAAGTCTACTGTCAGAACCAGGCATGAGTAAAAATGGTTTCATTTTTCCCTTTACCGGAGAATTTATTTTATAATTTGTGTAATTATCACTTGTATTGTTTGTTTGTAAATTCCAAGCACTGGACAAATATTCAAGAATTCCAAGAGAATTTGGTATATGAAGTTCAAGAAATTGATCACTCTGAGGAACTTGATGTCAAGTCAATACAAATTTTATGAAGGGTCTTGCAGTCGATGCATATGTTCTCAGAATATTCTATTGCCTTAATTGTTTACAATTTGTTTACTTTTGTTAAGCTATTTATGTTTTGTTCTTATTACATTCATATTTGGGATGAACAGATTCAATGTTTTCATTTGAGAAGGTATTTGGGAAAACCTTGATGGCATCAACCAGAAACAAGAAAATCATGTGACCTTCAGATGCATTTTACCATTTATTTTGCTTGCTTTATAATGAATTAACAATATTCCACAGGTCCCACTTTTGAAACTGCAAATGCTTTATTGGCTGTTTAGTTAAATTATATGGTGGCTCCAGATATAGAAAAAACAAATAACCTTCTTGCCACTGAATTCTCTGTATACTCAGTTCCTTTTCTAGCTCTTGTCCTGTGATTAAATTGCCAATACGGTTCTTTCTCCCAAGAAAATCCTAAGCAGAGCTCTGGATTCTCTCATGATTTATTTAAACACATAAACCACAGATAAATTTTGCTGGGGTACAAAAGAAATAGCAAGGAACCATGATGACATGGTTTCCTGATGTATTCTTGCCACCAGGGAAGATTCCCAGTCACAGGAAGGGAGACAGTTCAGCCATGTCCTGAACAGAGGTGGGCATCTGGTTAAGCATGTGTAACATCCCAGTTTAGACCATAAGAAGTAGGAACAGGAATAGGCTGTTTGGTCCCTCGTGCCTGCTCCGCCATTCTATAGGATCATAGCTGATCTGACATACCTCACGTCCACTTTCCAGCCCCTTCCCTGTAACCCTACTGATCAAGAATCTATCTATCTCAGCCTTAAACATACACAAAGACTCACACCCTTCTGAGAAAAGAATTTCCTCCTTATCTTAGTCTTTAGCTCCCTTCTATTCTGAGACTCTTCCCATGAGGGAAAACATCACCTCAGCATTTACCCTGTCAAGTCCCTTAAGAAGCCTATATGTTTCAATGAGATCATCTCTCATTCTTCTAAACTCCAATGGGTAGAGTCCCAAGATGTTTAACATTTGGTCACAAGACAGTCTCCCCACACAGGAAAAGTTGTACTGTTGGGGGTGTGATATTTTTTCAGCAGGAGAGGCCCCAACACATTGGGAAGCAGTCAGGTCCATGGAGCCAGTCTCCCTGGTGCATTCTGGGACAGAATGGGGTTTGTGAATTGGGGAAAGCCATCTTAACTGGAAACTCCATGCCATAGAGAGGGGCTATGAGTGGGAAAGGCAGTCCCTGTACCTCCAATAAGCCATCTGGAAAAAAAAACAAAAGAACTGTGGATGCTGTAAATCAGGAACAAAAACAAAGTTGCTAGAAAAGCTCAGCAGGTCTGGTAGCATCTGTGAAGGAAAAAACAGAGTTAACGCCTCGGGTCTGGTGACCCTTCCTCAGAATTGAATCATATCACATTCCTCAGTGACTGCTTCTGCCTCAGACTCACCCCACGTGGATTCCAACTGAAGTTTCATCCCTCATGTTTTGAATCCTCCCAGGATCACAGATATCTCTGTAACGTTCAACGTTCCATGGGCAGCTGCTCTCGCTGCATCCTGAGATCCACACTCAGTGCCATGCAGCGTCACATGCATACTCTCGACCTCTCTCTCCGACAGCATCGCAACACACTGGCTCAGGGTTACACCACCCCGCAGTTCCACTTCATCTTCCGGCTCATTCGTCGTGCTAACAAGAAACTTTTTCTTTTCCTTTCAGGCATCAAGGCCCACAAGATGCAACAACTCAAAGATACCCACGACCCTCTGGAACCTTCCTCTCCTCCCCTTCCCTCTGACTCCATCCCTTCTCCCAACCCCCCAACCTCCTGTTGGGTATCCACCATCCCTCCTAACCTTCTGCTCTCCGATGCTGAATGTTCTGTACTCAGCGAAGGCCTCAGCTTTATCTCTCCGCGTCCCCACCTGAACGAATTTCGGGCACAACATGATGCCAAACTCTTCTTCCTGTCTTTGCCTCCGTGCTCATTTCTTTGGACAAGAGTCCTCGACCCTTCCATAGACCCTTTCGCTGAGTTCCAACGCTGTCCTCCACCTGGACCCCTTCCTCCGGCCTTTTACCTGAACTTGATCTGTTCATTGAGAACTGTTGACATGATATTAGTTGCCAAAAGAGTCACCAGACCCAAAACATTAACTCTGTTTTTTCCTTCACAGATGCTGCCAAACCTACTGAGCTTTTCCAGCAACTTCTGTTTTTGAGCCATCTGGAAGAGTCTGCCTGCCTGACATTTATGACTTTTTGTTTTATTCTTAAGTCTCCAAGTTTCCTCCCACAGTCCAAAGATGTGCAGGCTAGGTGGATTGGCCATGCTAAATTGCCTGTAGTGTTCAGGGATGAGTAGATTAGGTAGGTTATAGGGGGATGGGTCTGGGTGTGATGCTCTGAAGGTTAGTGTGGACTTGTTGGGCCGAAGGGCCTGTTTCCACACTACAGGGATTCTATAAAAGAGCTTCTATGTTTAGCTGTTGTGTTGATCACTTATATGGCTGCCAAGAGTTGAGAGCTGCCAATGCTCTTTGGTCCAGCAGCAATGGGAATCCACCTATCTTAGGAGGCTGCCTCTGTGAATCTCTCTGGGTTGATCCTGTTGATGGTATGTAAGTCCAGGATTTCACTTGGTCCCAAAGACAGCTCCAGAAATGGTGTTGAAATAACTAAATATGAAATTAAACAACCTACATGTTTTAGTAGACTGGCTGCTCAGTTGCAGATTATCTGTCCCTCATGTCTTATCCTCCCTGGTTCATGAATAAAAGTGATGAACCAAGAAGTCAGAAATGCAGGGATTTTTGATGCTGGCTCACATGCAAGCAAGAACTAGTGCCAATGGGTAGTGGAAGACTAGATTGGCGCAGTGGACCTTGGGAACTGCTCTCTGCTGATTCCTATTGGTAAACAAAAGGTTCTAGAGTGGATAGAAGATCTATGTGACACTCCCTTTGAGAAAATCAGCTCTGATCCAACTGAAGCAAGTTGGCAATCATTAAATTAGATATAATGCTGAACAATATGGCCAAAATAATAAGAATAAAAGGCAAAGGAGTCATGTTAAAAAAACTGTAGAGTGCCCTAGTGAGTCACCATATCTTCTGGTTACTGGAACACAAGATGATCTTCAGGCTGTTGGTGCAGTTCAGGACAGAGCCATGATCATTTCTTCAATCCCAGTGTTGAATTGGGGAATAATCATTTTAACCCAAGGGCTTCATTTCAATACAGCAGGCCTAACTCCCATCTCAGTTTAGTGTCAGTGATATGACATAATGATCAGTAAAGTAGGACAGCATAGTCAGGAGACGCAATTGGAAAGGATTGGAACCTGGGTCATGGGAGGTCCAAGGCTTTCTTGAAGGGTCCGAAGGAATACTGTAGCTTTTCGTTACCCATAAAAAAAACAATATACTTCAATTCCTGCAAATTGTTAGCCCTTTCTGGGCCAACATCGCATGGCAACATGTTTACTTGGCAGTGCTTGCCTGAGCACTGATTTTGCAATGCAAAGTTAAAACACTGTTGAAGTGTGATTGATGCCACAGCAGCCTGACTTTTAAATTTCCGTGATGCTTTTATCTGCCCGATCAAGGACTTCACTTGCTCCCTGAAGCATACCTATTAAAACAGCATGAGCACAGTTTGAGTATAGATCTGACAGTGCCATGGTGCTGAAAATTTGACCTCACTCCAACCCAACCCAGCCCTCTCCCCCCCCCCCCCCCCCAACTAAAAATCTTGTTTCTAAATGGTGCAGCGACTAGAATTGATCATGTGTTGTCAGGGGACTCGGTCATGAGGATAGACTAGAGAGACTTTAGCTTCATAGCCTTGAAAGAAGGTGACTGAAAGGTGACTTTATGGATGCACATAAAATAGTCATCTGCATGAGAAAGTTTGGATCTGGAATAATATATCAAACTAAACTGCAGCAATAGGACGTTTGTTCATAATTGTTAACAGAAAATGGGAGACTGCTATAAAAAATTCTTCCTGGTCACAGCATTTGCAAGTGACTTCTGCATAGGGTGATGGATGCTTAAGCTCTGGAATTGTTTATGGCTTTGATCATGGGGACAGCTATAGTGTCCTTCTGAATGGATGAGCTAAAATAGGCCAAACAGCTGTCCTCATCCATATATATCATGTGATCTTAAGACCCTTATTATTGAAATAACTTAATACTACGCTGATTCCCTTTCTATTGCAGGTCAACATGGACATCCCTGGACTGAATGTCAGCCAACAAGATTACTATGCTTATGTCTACTTCAAGATTGACATTGAGTTATTTAATTTTAAGTAAATCTTTGACTAAAATAAGAAAGAATGGATGCCTTTTGAAGTTCTGTATAGTATGGGTTTTAAAAACAAAGTATAATATATATCTCATGCACATGCAAAAACATATACACATGGAAGTGCGTTGCTTGGTAATTCTTAAAAAATCTTTAACTTAATTTGAATCAGATTTTAAAATATGATGATTGTTAAGGCTTGTCTTTTACACATTTTTAAATGAAAAAAATCAGTATGCCTGTCTTATTAGCAAATGTTGTTGATTACAAATAAAACATATCTTTGTGAGTATATTACCCTGAACTATTTCTCTTATCCATTCCATGTTTTTATTTAGCCAAATGAGTCAAACTCCAATCATCATTGTGTTGAATTTGTGTTCTTTTTACGTCAAATATTGATTTATCTATACAATAACAAAAAAACTTACATGATGTACTTTTTTTTTGCTTTCAGTTAATTGAGCTTTCTCTTATTGTAGCTTTGAGATTTAAAAACAAATCCTTGTTTAATTTTCTTTGATTCTTTTAAGTTACAGTTGTACCACTTGCAACTAAGGCTCAGGCTCTCCACTCTCTACTGTCTGCAACATCTTCTGTCACTGCCCCTACCTGCATAACCTCTGTGCTGCCTACTCACTCAGAATCCCTACAGTGTGGAAGCAGGTCATTCAGCCCATCGAGAGTCCACACTGACCCATCTTCCTACCCTATCCCAGTATTCCTGCATTTCCCATGGCCAACCCATTTAACCCACACATCTTTGGACTGCAGGAAGAAACATGAGCAAACCCACACAGACACAGGGAGAATGTGCAAACTCCACACAGTTGGCTGAGGGTGGAATTGAACCCAGGTCCCAGCCATCGTGCCACCTCACTTTGGACATCTCAACACCTTTACTCCACCTACACCGCCAACAAGTCTACTCCCTTAGACTTTGAGACATTGCCTGTGCTGCAAGCAAATGGTAATGAATATGGCCTGTACACTGCTGGTGTATGGGTGTGGGATTGATGTAGCAATGTGCTGTACAGCAACATGTCCATTTACTTGACTGCTGACAAGCATGACAAGCTGTCTGGTTTTGTGACTCTGCTAAACTGCAAAACAATACTGCTAGCCTTTAACTCTGGATGAGGAGGCAAAGTGCAAAAAGGCAAGGCAGGGATGCTAAGTGTGAGTGAACACTAAGAGAGCAAGCGAAATACTGGAAATAGAGCATGTTCCGGTCCATGAGCTGGTGCTTGTCCTCCTCAGAAACAAAGTGAGTGAATGCTAAGAGAGTGAGAAAGCAGCCCTGAGGTGCAGCCTGGTCCAATCCATAAGAGACCGGTGGGAGAAGCGTACTGTATGTGAATTAAACGTGTCATGAGGCTGCAGAGCGATGGTACATGTTAGATGCTGGAATTATTGGATGTAGGATTTGTGCAGTCACTGCATATGCACTGTGCCCTAGATGTTGATACCGGGTATCCAAGCCAGAGATCCAGAGAAATGCATAATGAACCAGACACCTACTCTGACTTCCATGTCAGGAATTCTTAATATTTAGTTTTCATCAATGGGTGGCCAAATGGGAACCTGCATACTAATGAGGTGAGTTTAGATAGTAATAAGGGTGATAATGAGCAGTAATCTGTGTTAACAGGCTGTTTGTCTGTAACTAGTGATAATCTTATCTCAATATCTGGTATTGAGTTGTTGCATCTGACATTGAGATAGGCCTTGCTCAACTTTACACATAATTCTATCAAATTTCTCTCCATAGCTGATGTCATTGTTTGCTTTAACTTTATCCTTTAGGCCCTGTGACACTGATTCAAATCCCGCCATAACAGATGGTTAAAAGCTCATCGAATTTACGAAAGCCCTTTAGGAAAGGAAATCTGCTGTTCTTAACCTGGTCTGGCCTACATGTGACTCCAGACATACAGCAATAGGATTGACTCTTAACTGTCCTCTGGAATGGCATCACAAGCCATTCAGCAGTGTAAAAAGTCACAAAAAGGAATGCAAACAGAAGGACCAACTGGCAGCAACCTAGGCATTGGAAATTACAATGGCAAGCAAACACAGCCCTGTTGACCCTGCAAACTCCTCTGGGGGCTTGTGCCAAAATTGGAACAGCTGTCTCAAGGACTAGTTAAGCAACAGCCTGACATACTCACACTCATGGAATCATATCTTACAAGCAATGTCCTGGCCACCACCATCACAAACCCTGGGTATGTCCTATCCCACCAACAGGAACACCAAGTAGAGGTGGTGGCACAGAGAGACACAGTGGAGAGGGAGTTGCACTGGGACTCCTCTACATTGATTTCGGACCCCATGGCATCAGGTCAACTATGGGCAAGGAAATGTCCTGTTGATCACCATTTATCCTCCCACCTCAGCTGACGAATCAGTACTCCTCCAAGTTGAATGCCTCTTGAAGTAGGCACTGAGGGTAGCAAAGACACAGAATGTACTCTGGATGGGGCTTCAATGTCCATTACCAAGAGACGTTCAGCAGCACCATTACTGACTGAACTGGGGTCGAGTCCTAAAGGATATTGCTGCTAGACCGGGTATGTGCCAGGTGATGACGGAACGAACAAGAGGGGAAAACATGCTTGACCTCATCCTCACCAATATGATGCCTCATATGCATCTGTCCATGACATATCAGTAAAAGAGACCATTACAAAATCCTTGTAGAGACAAAGTCTCATCTTTACATTGAAAATATCCACCATCATGTTGTGTGGCACTATCACCATGGTGGGCACTATCACCATGGTAAATAGTATAGACTTTGAAGAGGTCAACAACTCTAGAATGAGCATCCATGAGGTGCTGTGGGCCATCAGCAGCACAGAGTCATACTTCAACACAATCTGCAAATCTCATGGCCTGGCATAATGAGAGAGAATGCTGGTTCAATGCAGAGTACAGGAGAGCATCTCTAAAATTGAGGTATCAATCTGACAAAGTTGTAGAACAGGACTACTGGCATGCCAAACAGCATAAGTAGCAAAAATATCCCCATCCTCAAAAATGCAAAAGAGAAGACTGGAGCATTCGCAAAAACCTTCAGCCAAAAGTGCTAAATGGATAATCCAGCTCGGCCTTCTCTTCAGGTCTCCAGTATCATAGCTGCCAGTCTTCAGCCAATTTGATTTCTTCCACATGCTATTAAGAGTCAGTAGGAGGCACTGCATACAACAAAGACAATCGGCTCTGACAACATTCTGGCAATAGTACAGAAAGCATGTGCTCCAGAATTTGTTGAACTCCTAAGCCAGGCTGTTCCAGTAAAGTTGCAGCTTTGGCATCCACCTGACAATGTGGAGAATTGGCCTATTTTGTCCTGTAGACAAAAAGCAGGACAAATCCAACTCAGTTAATTATCACTCATCTGTCTATTCTCGATCATTAGTAATGTCAGAAGGCTCAAAGCACCAGGTTATTGTCCAACCGGTTTATTTGAAATCACGAGCTTTTGGAGCACTGCCAGGTGAAGTGAAGGGAAACACACAGGCACAGAATTTATAGGCAGAGAGATCAAAAGATAGTACAAATGGTATGAATTGAGTGTTGAAAGCCTGAATGATAAGTCTCTGCAGGTGATCAAAAGTATCAGATGGTTTGAATAGAGTGTCAACAGCTGAACAGTCAGTGAAGGGATGACATTTGATCTAATTAATTGAGGCAGAGAGATAAGTAGAAAAAATTAAAAATAAGGTAGTGTTGGAGACAAACCAAATGGCTGGAATAACATGACAGGTGTAAGAGGTGCATGCCAAAGTTCTAACCAAAGTAACAAATAATCCACCTCAGTACCTTACTCTACTGCAACCCTGTGGATAACCTCACAATGCTGCACTTCTTTAGCTTCCACATGTTAAAGAAACTATCCCCTATGGACAAGCCCTGCATATATCCAGGATCTGCTCAGAAGAGCAGCAACGTGACTAAAGATGCCCTCACAAGAACAGGATACAATGCTCAACTCATCGATTGTCAGTTCTGACATGCCACAGTGAAAAACTGCAATGATCTCCTTGGAAGACAGACACAGGGCACAACTGATAGTGTACCCTTCGTCATCCTGTACTTCCCTGGAGCAGAGAAACTATGCTATGTCCTTTGCAGCCTTCAACATGTCATCGGCGATGATGAACATCTTGCCAAGGTCATCCCTACGCCACCACATCTTGCCTTCAAACAACCACCAAATCTTAAACAGATCATCATTCACAGCAAACTATCCAGCCATCAGCATAACAGCGACCACAACACCACACAACCCTGCCATGGCAATGTCTGCAGGACAAGCCAGATCATCGACATGGATTCTACCATCACATGTGGGAACACCACCCACCACGTACACGGAAGATACTCATGTGACTTTGCCATGAAGATGGCCTCAACCGTGATCTTGGGTTCATGTCATGTTACATGTAACCCCACCACACTTCTGTATTTGTAACACCATCACCTTGATAACTTGTTGTGATCTTTCTACCTTAATTAGATTGTACAGTTTTGGATTACTTGTTACTTTGGTTAGACCTTCGGCATGTACTCTTATACCTATCATGTTTGTCTCCAGCACCAATTAATCACATCATAGGTCATCCCTTCACTTACTAGCCAGCTGTTGACACTTTACTCACACCGTCCGACACTTTTGATCACTTGCAAAGGCTTGTTATTCAGCCTGTCAACTCTCCACTCATACCATTTGTATGATCTTTAGATCTCTTTGCCTACGCATTCTGTGCCTGTGTGCCTCCCTTCAGTTCACCTGACGGAAGAGCAGCGCTCAAAAAGCTTGTGATTTCAAATAAACCTGTTGGACTACAACCTGGTGCCGTGTGAATTAGAACATAAGAACTAGAAGCAGGAGTAGGCCATCTGGCCCCTCGAGCCTGCCCCGCCATTTAATAAGATCATGGCTGATCTTCTTGAGACTCAGCTCCACTTATCCATCCATTCACCATAACCCTTAATTCCTTTACTGTTCAAAAATTTATCTAACATTCATCGAGGTAGCTTCAACCGCTTCATTGGGCAGGGAATTCCACAGATTCACGACCCTTTGGGTGAAGAAGTTCCTCCTGACCTCAGTCCTACATCTGCTTCCCTTTATCTTGAGGCGATGCCCTCTAGTCCTAGTTTCACCTGCTAGCGGAAACAACCTCCCTGCCTCCACCTTATCTATTCCCTTCATAATCTTATATGTCTCTATAAGATCTCCCCTCATTCTTCTGAATTCCAATGAGTATAATCCCAGTCTAC